TGGTAGATACACTTTATTATAACATATATATATATTTAGAAGAATTACAAATTACAGAATATTGGCAAAACCGTCTGAACAGCCTTGACTTTTTACCAATTCAAAATTTCAGGTAATATCATTTCCCTGATGTGGCAAAGTATGAAAAAATTTCACCGAAGGAAAGTATAAATAGCAAGGAGTTTATACCAAAAAGAGGAATACATCTGCCTGTCATTAGATGAGATGTTGTCATGGTAACGGCCTTAATCCAAAAATTGAAAACCAAAAAATAAGCCTTATTTTAACAGTACCCATACTGGTAAATCTGTACGGTGAAAACTTTAAGAGAAATTAGCTAAGTTTCCTTTTCTAACTCGCGCTGTATAGGGAGGGTGTTCGTAAATACTCTAGGGAGCCACCTTAAGTCGGCTTTTCTCGATAAGAATAAGAATGTTGGCCGTCGATGTTTTTTCGCAGAGGAAGTAGATTATGAGAACCGAAAATTGGTCTGTTAGTTGCTATTTTCATCTGGTTCAGCGTTTCAATTTATCAAATATTTCGTACCAGTTGGAAAGAAATAATATTTTGCTTTGATCAGCACTTAATGGCGTCCTAAACCTAACGTCCTGAAGAGTCTAGATAGGTGTGCTGGAATCTCAGATATCAACAAAATTTTCTGCGTACTCATGAGAAATTTTCTGCGAACTTGTCAGTCCACATTTGGGTCCATTTGTCAGCTGTAAGTAATTAATTTGTGCAGTTCTCGATCTCAGCCATCAGTTTAAAAAAGGTTCATTTCTTAAATGACAGTCAAAACTTTAGTTTTACTCTTAGCTTTCAGTCAGAAAACCCATTCAGATCCTCCTTGAAGAAAAAAGTTAATACTTACTCAACATAATGATTACTAGGAGAGTTCCCGTCCTCCTTTTGAAGTTCCTAATTTGTTTCTGAATCACGTTCCACTCGGCATCACAAAAACCGAACAAACGAACGCCAATATATCTGTTGTTAGTTAGTTCGTTGCTCTTATCCGTATAGTCGTTAGAAAGTATGCTCGACTTCTGATGTTCACTTAGATGACTGTGTGGAAAATGGTGACAATTCGTAACTCTCTTGTAATTAACTAATGGTTTTTTATTTAGGAGATAGGTTGTCATGTAACTTGTTTTGTATAAACGAAAGTAAGGTGACGTCATCAAAACTTATGCGAGGTAGAAGGAGAGTTCTCCGCCAATCTAATGCTGGCGTAACTTGTCATTCTAATGGACATGCAGATGCTGGAGCTTGAGCAACTCAAATAATATGATCAACCAAATATAATATTTTGGAGGTTGATTAAAACGCCATGACTGAATTATATATTTTAGACCCATAGACGATGATCTACTCTTGTTTTAGACGTAGAAAAGCAACGAAAAACATGACAATTAAATAAACTGGATGTGCCAACTAACATGCAATATTTATATCCATCTTGGCCAAGCCACAGTTTATTTTAATCCGGAATTGAAGTCATGGTTTCCGGTCGCTTCATGGTTTTTACACATCTTTAGATTTAGACAGCACAGATGTTCACAGCTGACGTATCCGAAAAAGCTAATGACAAGAACAGTTTCCTCTAGATCAAGTCACTGAATCGTCCGTGAGACTATGGTAACAAGTTTCTGCGCGTCATTTGAAATGAAACTCAAACCATGCCGTATGCCAAAAACCATGCCAAATGTTCAAAAACAGTCACGGCTGTTAATCTTTGTGGATGGCTTTTGGATGGCTTTTATATCGCGAAAAGTTGAAGGTAATTGTTGACCTCGATTTTTTGGCTCTGTCCTGTTTTCCCTGACAGTAACACTTATATCAAGAATACATGTACGGAAGAAAGCCCTCGACGGATTAATTCGAAACCACTGCGTAAATTGCTGCTACCTAAGTTACCCCTGCCTCCATTTTTTATGTATTATATAACTTATTGACGTTTTTCTTGTAAAATGAATTTTATCTAGAAGTAAATATCTACTCTGAATAATCATGAAACTCCGTTTATATGGTTTATTTCTAGTACCTTCTAGTAGTTCTAAAAAGTAACAAATCAAAACCCCTTTACTTATAGCACCTATTTAAGAGGCTGTCTCTGTAACAACCGACCACTGATTTTACTTCGAAAATTCGATTTTTCTCATAAGCTGGGATTTCAAAGCCCTTCCCTAGTCAATCACTAAAATGAGTTTTATTTCATTAAAAATTCCAATTGAAGTTTTCTAGGATTGATTGAAGTTCAGTCAGCTCGACACAAGTTTCATGCCCGCCGAAACTGGAAAAATAGCACATATTGCCGGCGCTCTAAAAAAAATAGTATTCGCTCAAAAGTCCCAATTCTATTTTTCAACTATAGATATATCATAGCAGTTTGTTTAGCCATGTTGCAATTATAATTCAATGTTGTTCCTTCAACGGTTAAAAGAAGATTTTCTTTTGGACCAAAAGAGTGCTTCTACAAACCTTTCAAGAGGTGTCTACATGATTAAACCGGCTTCGAGGGAAACAATGGTCATCAATACAATGAACATCGAAGTATGTGACGGTCACGCTCGACACAGATGAGGAACATATAACTCTACTTTATGGTACAAACCTACAGTTGGAAGGAAAAGCTGGCAGTTTTAATGCTACCTAGGTTTCAAGGATCCCTACAAAGGACCAAAACTTTAATCTTGAAGTCAGGTAAGAGATTTACGGTAATTCATCGGAGCACTTTACGAAGGCGAGTGTGTTAGTTACTCACTGGAATATTTTCAAAATTTCCTGAACTTTAAGCAGTCGTTAGTTTTGAAAACCTAGTGGGCAGACCAATTTTATTATTGTTTTAAATTAAGGGACACTTATACTTTCTATTCATGTAGTTCAGCAGTTTCAAACAGGTGCCACATTTTTAAAACGTGCCTGCAAAGTAGAGCTATTTTCGCGTTTGGTTCAAAACTCGATTGAACGGGYAGAAAATCTTCTTTTAACCGTTGAAGGAACAACATTGAATTATAATTGCAACATGGCCAAACAAACTGCTATGATATATCTATAGTTGAAAAATAGAATTGGGACTTTTGAGCGAATATTATTTTTTTTTAGAGCGCCGGCAATATGTGCTATTTTTCCAGTTTCGGCGGGCATGAAACTTGTGTCGAGCGGACCGAACTTCAATCAGTCCTAGAAAACTTCAATTGGAATTTTTAATGAAATAAAACTCATTTTAGGGATTGACTAGGTAAGGGCTTCGAAATCCCAGCTTATGAGAAAAATCGAATTTTCGAAGTAAAATCAGTGGTCGGTTCTTACAGGGACAGCCTCTTAATACCCCCAATAGTTACAAGCTTTTTTTCTCATTCTTATGCATGATTTTGTAATTGAAATCACAAACAATTCTTCCATAAGTGAGGGCCTCGGCATACCAGATAGCCTGTTGTCGATAACTAAAATGCTTCAACGTTTAGTGCTCGATAGAGCTTTACCGCACAGTACATTAGTGTAATCTTGCTGGCCAGCATTCACTGCGCATGTCAGAACGTATGTCTTATCAACAAAAATCTTGAAGAGAAGCTAGGTATCGACATACTGTTATCGACGAAAATCAGTTTATACTGTGCGTGTCAGAATGTATGACTTATCGACAACAAACTTGAAGAGTAGGGAAAACTAGCTATCGACATATCGTTATCAGCGAAAATCAGTTTTCTTTATGAAAAGGAGTTCATCTTAGCTGTGTTCTTATTTAGGTTCGTTATCGATAACTTGTTTCACACACAATCCCCAGTCTGTAGAGGACGCCTATGCGTACAGTGGCCCCCAACTTGGAAAACTAACATTACATTGCATTACTAGGTATATACATCACTCTTCCTAAATTACAGTTTACTACGGGTTCCTTACAATAAAATGTCACAGTAAAGTAATTCTAAGGTATATGACTAATCAAATTAAAACAATAACGTGAGTAAATTAAGACAATCTCCTCTAAATAGACAAAATGTGTTAAAACGTAATATCTAAACTTCGTTGCTACTTTTACGATTTAAACAAAACAAAGAAAAATTTTGTCTCATTATAGCTAATCTCAAGCCGGCAGACTGTGATATAAACCAATTATCTTGCTTACTAAATTTGTACAGAAACTTTTTTCAATCACAAACAACATTACTTTTACGTTTAATAAATAACGTTGCATTACATTAAGGTTATGGACCTAAATTTACGTAACGAAATACTTCTATGAACTTACTGCCTTACTTAGCCGTTTCACAAAAAGAACAACTTACAATGTGTTCTTACCTACGATACCCTACTATTACAATTAACTACCATGCTATTTAAAATACCAAAACTGTAAAACAACTGCAGTAAAATACAAATATTGCAGTATCACTAAAAAGAAACAACAGAAAAAGACTGACAGTCATTAACTACATTGTATGCTAGCGACTTCGACACGTTAATAAAGTCTTATCTTATCTTATCTTATCATGTACAAAATATTTCGAATTGATTGATTAGACTTAATGAAAATAATTAGAGATAAAAAATGAAGCCCTTTTCTATACAAGAAATACTTGTATTAGCTTGCGTTGTTATATATCTTTCCGGGTCATATTTTCCTGTACTAGGGCGAAGAATACTCGAAAACTAGGGCAAGAATCATTACTATTTCGGGATTCAAGTTATTCTGTAAATAGGCTTTGGCCAAGTTTCGGTTTATGCTATGACTCGCACGATGAACAGGACGCATGGCTGATATCTCTGACATGAAATTAAGTCAAGTCGATTTTATTCAACAAATAAAGAAGCCTAAGCCGTGTATTACACCGTGATAAAACACGACAGAGATTTCTCGAGTGTTTTATCGCAGTGTTATACATGGCTTAGGCTCATTTGCTTTATGATATAGAGGTAATGTGGCGAAAAACAATAAAACACGCTTTTTCTATCTTTTATATTTTGAAAAACATGGGTTTTTGACCAATTATAGCGCGCCGGGGGTCCTATCTATATTATAATATTATATAAGCAATTCTTAAGCAATCCTTCCTTGAAGTTACAGTTTGCTTTGTTCCACGGATTCATTCTCGGTCTCGTCGTAAATTTGGGATTCGTCATCATCATGGGCTATTCCGGTCATTGAAATATTTCCGTTTCCTTCTTGTTGGTAATTCTCTAGTTTTGCCTGGGAGCCTTCGCGTACAAATGCCGAGTAGTCCACAACCCTTGACCCTTCCGGCTGATGCTCCGTCTTACTAAATCTTCCGTCGTGACTTCGTCTGGTCCCTCTTTCCTTTCCTCTAATGTCTGTCTTTTCTGTTGTAACTTCCATTTTCTTCAAGAAACAGAGAATTCTTGTGAATTTTTTCCTGTAATTACGGTTGGTAGCTCCGTAGATCCAAGGATTTACACAAGAATTGAACATGGCCAAAACAACTGTGACGTGATGGAGAGGTGTATCCAGTTGCGTGATGTTGAACTTTGACAGCACATAAACAAACTGGTTTGGAATCCAGCACAGTGCCAGGACCAAACCTGTTATAGCGCACATATGCAAAAGGCTTTTAAAAGATTTCGTGTCGTTACTCCTGGCCAGACGATCACGTGACCTCCGCATCACTCGATGCAAGTGGAAAAAGGTAATCATGGAAACAAACAAGGGAATGAAAAAGGTAAATGTTACGTGAACCACAGTGAAAATCTGAGAGAAGAACTTGTTTCCAATCAGCGTGATCCAAACACAGGAGGGAGTTCCGTCTTCCATGACAAGTTTCTTCTCTATCAACGCTTGCCAGTTCAGTGCACAACAAACCATGGAGACGCTTGTAATGTACATAATGACTCTCCGCCGCTTGAATGTAGCTTTATACTTGACGGGTCTAGTTATTGCATACCAGCGGTCTATTGCTAACAGCATCACTATGGCAACAGAGATCTTACCGAAGGTGAAGACGAAGTACTGGGAACTAAGAATGTGGCAGAAAACATCTCCCGCCAAGTTTTCTGGGACGGGAAAGTTTTCGTCTCCTATGACAAAGGCAGGGGTAATTGCCAGTATAACTCCTGCGAAGATAACAACATTAAACAAACGCAATAGGCCATTTCCGAGTTACCTTGGGTCACTGACTTAAAGGGAGTCCTCGTGCATAACTTTTCATTTGAAGATGAGTTTGATCTACATGGAAATGAACCTGTGTGCGAAACACATTTTCATATGAATGGTTTCATACGAATAATCGTCTTGACACAAAGCCAAAAGGAACTCGGAAATGGCCTATTGTCTACCATCACTTTTTATTTAACCGTGTATCGTTGAAACGTTGTGGTAAAAACTGCTCGTCCTTTTTCCAATTCACTATTCGGTGGCCAAATTAAAATTTGGACATGCTATTGAACTATGTTCTGTGATCCTGTGTCCTGTGAAGAAGCTAATGGCAAACTAGCTCGTTCTGTTCTCGCTTGAAGATGTACACAGTATGATGACGAAGACAACATCGAAAGCGTTGCCGGAACGTTTTGGTTGAAACGACCAGTATTCTAGTCGCTTATGCATGTGCATGTTACACTGTTACTTTGTTTACGTTTACCTGTAGTTGTTTCTATTGTTTAACTTGTGCCTTTTGTAATTTTGTTGTAAATTATCATTACTTTTTTTGTTCTTTCCTTTTTAATATAAACTCTTGACCCTGCTTCAATTAGTTTTGGAACTAGTTGTGGGGCAAGCAGTTCTTGTGACTCTATATAAGAAAATAAGATAAAATTAAAGTTCAACTTTAAGTTCAACTTCAACGAAGAAAAGTTGTTTGACTTTGCAAAAAACTAACGACGGAAAAGCATGGTTCAATTAACATTATTTAACTCTGATACAATAACCGATGTTTGTAACTCAAACGAACATAATTTTGTAGTCCTGAGGAAAACCACTACCACGAGTGTTGATCGTTTGCGGTGCGCAGCGATTCTAAAAATAGCTTGTGTAATATGTACATGCTAATAGATGCGTGTCTCAAAGAAATATCATGNATGCCCTACATACAGTATGTATATTCTTCGTTCTTAAAGCGTGCGAGCCCAAACACACGCTAAATACAATTTGTATTCTTCGTTCTTAAAGCGTACGAGCCCAAACACACGCTAAATACAATGCCTTACATACAGTATGTATATTCTTCGTTCTTAAAGCGTGCGAGCCCAAACACACGCTAAATACTAAGCTGAAGAGGATTACTTATATTCATATTTGTGTTCTATATGATTAAGTGTATATACAGGTTATCGAATTTGATACACCCCAGTCCAGTTGTAAACATACAACTGTATGACGACAGTAAAAATAATTTGTCACATTGGAGTTACATTTTTAAAAACATTTCTTCAGACACTTCAGGTATAGCACGGTATGCATGTATACTCTAAACAAACAAACAATCATTCATTCATTCATTCATTCATTTTAAGTTCTGCCCCAAAACTCAAAATATCGAGTTGATAAACTCGCAACATCAAAACTCTTAGAACTAACAAAAAGGCTTAACAGATGATGTTAGAAAATTCGATATTGAAAGTAGATTGGGTCAACGAGCTCAGTAAGCCAGTTGTTCAAGTTTGGGCTTATGCGATAATGAAAAACCATTCAAAATTGTTTATACGAATCCTTTGTTACACTTATAGCTCACTCTGGTTATGGCTGTTAGAGTTGTTGGCAGCCTCTTCGCTTATATGAGTGTCTTTATCATCATGGGGCATTCCATTCATTGTGATTTTTTCTGTTGCTTTCTCCCTGGGGAACCTCTGGTTTTCCCTGGGAGCCCTCAGGTATAAATGCGGAGGAGTCCACAACTCTTGATGCTTCTAAATGTGGCCCCGTCTTACTGAAGTTTTTATCATCCGTTCTTCTGATGACTCCTTCCTTTATTGTAATACCCGTTTCTTCAGATGCTACCTGCACATTTTTCCAGAAACAGAGAATTCTTGTGAATCTTCTGTAATTGCGGTTGGTGGCTCCATAGATCCAAGGATTTAAGCAGGAATTCAGCATGGCTAACACAACTGTGGCATGATGGAGGGGCGTATCAAACTGAGTGATGTTGAACTTTGACAGGACATAAAAAGACTAGTTTGGAATCCAACACAATGCCAAGAGCAAACCTGTTATAGCACACATGCGGAAAAGGCTGTTGAGAGATTTTGGGCGGCTGCCCTTGGCGTGACGATAACGCGACCTTCGCATAACTCGGTACGAGTGGAGAAACGTGAACATGGAAATAACAACTGGGATCAAAAAGGTTAATGTTACGTGGGCGACGGTATAAATCTGAGACACGAACTGATTTTCAATAAGCATAACCCTAATGCAAAGGGGTTGTCCCTCCTTCATTATCAGTTTCTTCCCGATTAACGCTTGCCAGTTTAACGCACAGCACACCATGGAAACACTTGTAATATACATAATGACTTTCCACCGCTTAGATGTAACTTTGTACTTGACCGGTCTAGTTATTGCATACGAGCGGTCTATTGCTAATCGCATCACTATAGCAACAGCGATCTTACTGAAGGTGAAGATGAAGTACTGGGAACTAATGATGTGAGAGAAAACATCTCCCGCCAAGTTTTCTGGGACGGGAAAGTTTTCGTCTGCTACGATAAAGGCGGGAGTAATGGCCAGTATAACTCCTGCGAAGATACCAAAAAAATGTAAGTTTTTACCATCCCTTTCGTAACCGTGTTTCGTTGAAACGTTCTAGTAAAACTGTTCGCCCTAGTTTTCAATTGACTATTTGTTCCTAACGAGTAATGCGACGTTTGTTAACGTTTTCATCCTGTAATTTCTAGTTTGAGTGAACTTTGCTCCTATTATTCTTGTGGATTTTTCTTGGTTTGTACAAAGTTGTATTGCAACACTGAAATAACAACACTGAAAATGCAGGACTCTGAAAAAGCAGAAGGGAAAATTGTTCCGATATGTATCGCCCATATGGCGACAAACTGTGGGCAGGTGTTTCATTTCGTCCGGAGATTGATTTCATAAAAATTCAAAACGAAAAACTCATTTGGTCCAATTACGATGGCTATTCTAGAAAGCGCGAAAATGTCACATAAAGAAAATCGCATATGATCTAAAAATGTAACAAAAAAAACAATGTACCTCTTTCTTATAGTGGTCATGCACTTAGTTATACAAGCACTAAGCTTAGCTAGTTTACAGGCATGCCACTGAAACAAAGGAAACAAATATTTCAAATGTAAGAAAAAAGTGTGCTGTCTAGGTTTTATTCGAAAAATTAAATATTCAGTGGCTAAATTAAATGTTGGAAATGCTGGTGAACTTTGTTCTGGTTGAAGTGGGTACTGACAAACTATTTTCTTGTGTTCTCGTTTGAAGATGTACACAGTGTGTTGACAAGACAAATCGAAAAAGTTGCCGGGACATTTTGATTGAAACTTTGATGAAAAAAGGTAATTTGACTTTGTAAAACAAACAATGACATCGCTGAAATGGAAAACTATTGTTCAATTGATATGATTCAACTCTGATACAGTATCCAATGTTGGTCACTCAAACTTGCATAATTTTGTAGTCCTGAGAAAAAAATATGGGATATATGTGTTCATTTCCTTGGACTGAGTTGCTCTTCAGTGGTTGTGATAACCGAATAAAGTTTCAATAAAATGGCTCTTGTAATAACTTCTTTCCAGTTGTCTTCATTGTAATTTTGTGATTGTGATTTTGGTTTTACACTGGGCTTATTTCATTTGTATTTATTTCTTTAGTTAAGTTTCGTTTTTATCACATGCATCTTACCTGTGAACATATCAGTAAAGGCCAGCGAGAGAATCATCAAGTTATACGAGTTCTTCAGCATTCTGCGACATCGGATAATAACCGCACAAACCAATCCATTGCCTAAAACTGCCAGCAAGGCGATAAATCCAAATGCTACCCTTAGAGCTGTTCGCGAGTAGTCAATATGGGTTTTATTTCCTGCGGAATCTGTGGTGTTCATGGC